GTATGTAATTGTATGTAATTGTATGTAATTGTATGTAATTGTATGTAATTGTATGTAATTGTATGTATGTATGTAATGTAATGTAATGTAATGTAATGTAATGTAATGGTATGTAATGTAATGTAATGTAATGTAATGGTATGTAATGTAATGGTATGTAATGTAATGGTATGTATGTAATGTATGTATGTATGTAATGTATGTATGTATGTATGTATGTATGTATGTATGTATGTATGTATGTATGTATGTATGTATGTATGTATGTATGTATGTATGTAGTATTTTCCAATACCCCGCCGGGCTTGCTGGTGTTTCTCATGTTTCTGTTGGGGTATGTCAGGTCATCCCTGCTAAATGAAGGACTCTGCCTTTGTGTGTGTGTGTGTTGCTGTTAAGGAGTTTGGAGTGCATGTCGCAAGGTACGTGATTGGGGAAATGGTTGGTGGTACCACTATGGATTCATTTCTGCATGATGGAGAATGTGAAGCGCCTGCTTTATCCCATTTGTATTTACAGCGGAATTTGCATCCCAGTGCCATCGATGGTACAGGATGACTTGCCTGCCATGTTTGGTCCGCAATATATCATATCACTGATATGTCTTCGCCAACTGGAGATATTTTCTATGACTGATGATTGAAAAGACCAGTTCTTGCACGATCATCCTGAAGCACATTGATTCTGAGTCAATCAGATGACCCATGAAATCCCTGAACTTCGACCAACCCGGTGAAAGGGAACCCCCTCCCTGAATTGTCCTCCCTGAATTCATGGTTTTGGCCGATCCATTTTCTCAAAAGGACAGAACGGTGTGTGTTGAAATAGGGAGACCTCTCGGCTGGGTCCCTTGGAGGAAGGAAACTAGACCAGAACCTCTTGGTTGGGGTCTCCCTCTGAAAAAGACACCCCCGGCATCGTCACTGCGTTCCGTCTTCCCCCGCCCTCCGTCTTCCGGGTGGCTCCGCCTGGGCGCTCGCCGACGCCTCAGGTCGTGCTTTCCGTCCGGAAGTCCTCCACCTGGCCGCCTTGTCTCCGCAGACCCTTGGGCTAAACCACCCGCAGACCGCAGACAGGAAGGTCGGTGTCAGATGGTGATAGATGGTGGCTATGCATTGATGGTGGCTGTCCCCGGTGTATGTATCCAAGGTGGTGTAAAGCTTGGCTTCCACTTCAGAAAACTTCTTTCGTCGCATGCACTCAGGACGGCGATTGACTACAACGTTGAGTCGTTCCGATTGCACCCTGGTCATGGCAGTCCTTCTAATGACTGCTTCTTTCAGGAAGGACATGTGTCGTCGACACCGTGGGTGAGAACAGGAAGGAACTACAATTCATGAGGTACAGAAGACTACTGGTTGGATCCTTTCAATTGACTGGTTTTGGTGTGATTTTCTTCTTCCACTGTCAGTCGACCAGTGATTTTCACTGGCGCAGGGGAAGAGTAGGGCGCGTTGGGGTCTCTGGAAGTAGAGAGTGGATCTCCCAGATACCAATTAGGCTTGTTGATTTTCTGTTTGCTGGTCTACTGACTGCCTAGAGTCCTAGAGTCTACGGTTTTTGCCCCCCCGGACCGTGATTTGCACCCTCTTGATGTTCACAAAAAGGTACAACAAGCGTCGCCGGAAGAATGTGCTTACGGAGAGCACGGTGCTGGCCGTTCCAGTGCATGTGATGGAAGGGACAGTGTCAGCGGACGAGTCTGGCGTGACGGTGGAACAGCTTCAAGGGGTCTGGAGACCGAGTGTTCTGCATGTCAGATGTCAGTGTTCTGGATGGTTCTGGGAAGGATGAATGGATGAAATAGAAATCATCAATGTGGACTCCGACATAGTTATTTAGGGCATATAAGTTGACCTCACAAGCAGGGTCACACATGCGGTAAACCTTGATGATAGGGCGATCACACAAGTTTTTTTTTGACTTATACAGACCTCCAAATAGATAGAAAAGTAAATCCCCCTAAAATCTATTGGACACCCTGCCACTATCTATTTGGGGGCAACTTGTCCGTCCAAGATGGTTGGGGGAGTGCCTGTTGGCACTTGGATCTTCTTTTCCTCGCTTTTTGGCTGATCTACGAGACCAGCTTGTGTGGTTTCGTTGGCTTTTCACATACCGAAAAGATCCCAAGAGTATCCAAGGGTTAAACTTTCAGGGGTTAGAAAGCAGATACCCCACAAGTTAGAACTATCAACTATCAGTTGCTTTTCTTCCTACAGACCATGCCACACCCATCTTCAAGACCGTGTTTTCTTAGTGGTGTCCATCCAAAGATGTGACATACATAGGACCTTTGCCAGTTTGGTAGCAAAGGAACTAGGGAGTTACCGGAGCACTTGGCAATTGGGACCTTTGCATGAACATCCTTTTCCTTTCTTGGCATGTGTCCTCGTACACCATGTCCATCAGCCCATCGTCGACCAAATCTCCTTGGAAGTGAGTATTCACCAATGGATGTGGCTCAAAAGGCTTTTTAGTTAATTTGTCCCTTTACTGGTGGGTTTGAGCCACAGCCAAATGACCAAATCGTGTTGTGTTGCCGGCCTGAGCATCGGCATTGGTTAGACAAGGCCTTCCAGTTTCCTATCCCCCAAGAACTAGCTTCCAAAACCACCTCACAGAAACATCCACCCGGCGCCCTCTTTAATTTTGGCTCAAATCTCAAGTGGTGGAAAACGCAAGGGTTTGTCCAAGCATAGTCACAGTCATTGGGATGTCAGAATTGAATGAATACATTCTTGCTCAGACCAAATGGACTCCTCAAAGACAAGTGTCCTTTACAATGCATGCTTTCACCCACAGCTTTCTTGACCTTGATGCACGCCATGTGTGAATTTATCTCCAGCACCTAGACCAATGTGGGGGGGCAGAAGCTAGGACTCTGTACCGCTGGTAGATGGACGCATGATCGAAAGGATGCCCAATTATGTAGTTGTGGCCACACCTAAGTGATGACCCACTTGCTGAGAATGTCCAGTCATGTTGGAATCCATCCACTGTTGCACATCTTCAAGAAACGTACCAATATCCAATTGCCACTTGCACCCATGGTCCGTGCTGATGAAGCCGATGCTTTTCCAACATCCTCCTCCCCGTTGTCGCCGTCGTGATGCTCTGATGTCAACTCAGCTGCTCGGCGAGCACTCGTTGTGAATCCTCGTGATGAAGGGGTGAGGCGGTAGGATTGTCGCTTGTGGACCACCCACACAATTTTCTTTTTTGTGCGGCCCAGCCTATGCAGCCAAGGCCTGTATGGAGAAGCTTGGACCTGCTTGGCTTTCCACCTCGAAGATGCACTTATGAGCCACATTTCTGTGAGAAGTCTGCCGGAGTGTTGCGGAACTAATGTATATGTGGAGGCCAAAGGTCTCACAACTTGCGTTGGACGTTGGGCCTTTAAACAACTTCCATCTAAGCATGGCTTATGCCTGGCAATCGCGGACTTGACAATCACCCAAACATGTTGACTAATCCATGAGTTCATGCCCCCACATCCATTTTCACAACATCCATCTACTGGCGCCCTGGCTTTTGATCCTCCCATGGGTGTTGTTGCCACGCGTTTGTTTTGTCTGAATGAAGAACGCACTCTACCAGTTCTTGAAAAGCAGACCAACATGATGATGTCATGCAAACTTGGTGGGAGCACGGCCAAGGAGGCATGGCGTTGAGCTTGCTTCTGTCCCTGTTTCCTGCACTGGCGCCATGTGCTGGCATTTTCTTGCTTTTGCCTGGCTGGAGCATGGGTGCAGGATGGCGGAGAAGCGTCAAAAAGTGAGTCAATTGTTGAATCGTCAGCCTATCCACCGCATCTGGCGGCCACGCGTTTTTACCCCAAGCGCCTTGATTGGGTTGAGATGCATTGAGTGGAATCTTTGTGGCCTTTGGCCGCCCTCAAGACAGTTTGAGCATGATTGGAGCAGGCGTCTCGTGGCAGGCTGTGGTACTGCGGGCTGATATGGCGGGTGTTTGTGGAGGTGCCCGCTGCCTCGCCCTACGTGCGGCAATTTATTTCACGAGCTGCCCGCGGTTTGACCTTGATCACTGGTCAGCCGGTCAGCTACAGAAGCCGCGTGGCTATCGCACAGAGATTTTGATTTCCTGCTGCCTGCTTCGGTATTACGGTCATGTAAGTAATATGAACCAATTTCTCCGGAGAAAGGCAGCCCCAGGGTAGTGGGACAGAACTTCTAACCATCCCAACACACAGTGTCAAGCAATCCCATCTTCTTTGTCACATGTCGTGCGTCAGCTGCCTGAGGTGCAGCAAGAAGGTCGGAAGGATCCACGAAAGCTGAGCTTTTTGCCGATCATGCGAGGACCCAACATCTAAGGCTTAATTTGCATGTATCTCTTCCTTTGTTGGTCCAGGTTTGTCCACCCCGCACCACTTTTGGCCAAAGGGATGTTGTTGGCCAATTACATTAAGGCTGAGTGAGTTTGCAAGTTGTTTGGGTCGACCGATATGCAATAGTGGGACATACATTTTGAGGCAATGACAGGAAAGGTTTGTAGCGCTTTTGTATGACAGTCGCTGGATGTTCTATGTATGAAGGGGCAGCAACTACCAACTGGCTCTGGCAACCAAGGTGCTGTGTCCTCCTGTCCCTGACCAGTTGAAAGCACTTTGGCAATGTGTGCGGCTGATAGACAACCCACACTTCAACAAGAATGGTGAAGGTGGTGTTCGACTATTGGCGGCCATACTTGCAACCTTCAGACGTCTTGGCCGGCAAGTCAGTGCTGGCACCAAGCAGGTGGAGGCTTGTGAGAGGGGCAAACAGGCGATTACACATACCAGTGCTCTATGGAAACCGTTTGTGAACCATCGGCGTGGATGGTTGTGAATATGTGGTCCCTTCAACACACCCGAATCACGTGGTCTTGCGCCTCTTTCCAGAAACAGCTAGCTTCAAAAAGACTGCCCTGCCCAAGAATCTTTCCCATGCCCACACAAAGTGTCGGACGCCAATTTCCCAGCCATCGCGCGCGCGCAGGTGAACCCGGAGATGAATGCTCGCTTTGACATGCTTTACAAGCTGATTGGTAGCTAGGCTCTTCACGCTCTTGGAGTTATACTTTTTCTGCAGGCTTTTCAGCAATTGTGTTTCCAAAGGCCTCAGTGTGATATTGGAAAGTGCAGATAAGACAGCAGAAGTGCCAATGAGCTTGCACCCTCGAGCAGTGGCAACTTGCTCATAAGAACATGTAGCCAGGCTTTGCTAGGAGGCGTCTGAAAGTCTCTGAGAGGCTCTGTACAGATGATGTGAGCACTGCAGCCCACGGTCATACTACCGAGCTGCACTTGGGAAGGGTTGAGCTCAAGTTTGCCTTTTTCCAGGGGAAGCTTGACAAATTCGCAGCCCAATGTTCCGGCACACTGCTACCTAATTATCCTTCATGGTTCAACATTCCCAACGAGAGCGGCCGTTGCGCTGGAGTCGCCAGCTGCCCGTCCCTATATGCCTCTTGGCATTATAATATTTGTCTCTTGCTCAGTACGTGTTCGGAAGCGTTGCCCAAGAACTGGCTTCAGGGTTTAGGCGTTGCGTCGAAGAATGCGAACTGATGGCCAATCAGAGGCATGTGCCCGCTCAGGCTGCTTCGTGTTGCGAGCTGTGATGTGTTTTTTGGGGCTTTTTGCAAACCACTTGTAGAGTTTATATTTTTTTTTGGGGGGGTGCCGTCATGTCCCTTCATATATCAAAAGTCCGAAGGTTTCTCCAACGTTGTGACTGGTGCGGTGGACCACCGCCTTAATTTTGTTCAATGCATGTGCCACAAAACTTGTGTGTCCTGTGTCACGTCAACATCATCAATTGAGATCGACCGGTCGGTATTTGGTGTTTGGTGCTCTCGGGGGATGCAGGTTCGAGGAACTTGGCATGTGTGTATTCTCCGGCGCTCTCGCGGCCCACAGACCATTTAAAGCTGTCCTCAAACTTATGGTGAGCATCGTTTTTGCTTGCTGCTCTGCCACGTCTACAGAGGCAGATGAGATGTAGCAACAATTGTCAGTTTTTGAGCCATGGCAATGGCGAGCAGTTCAACCTTTAGAGGGTTGACGGGCAGGTTTCTCTTCGTGTTGATGCTGCGTAGCTATGTGTCATACATGTTTATATCTTTTGTGAGTGAACGGAGTTATGGAAAAGTTGTGTGCCCACAGGTGTTTACACGAGCGCAAGTGTGTATGCACCTGCCTTTGTTTTGAAGCATATGCGCATGGGTGCGTGTATGGTTGTACGCTGGCATGTCATTCATGTGAGACTGTGAACAGATGTACGTTGGGTGTGCGTGTTTCCCTCAAAAAAGAAAGACAAGTTCAGCCCTTTCTTCGTTGCGCCCAAAGTCGAAGTTAGCTACTGCAGAAGAGCAGAGGCAGCAACTTTGACTTGAGCTTGGGAGATTGCTGGCGTTTGTGCGAGAGGTTGAAAAAGTTTGCTCAGTGTGACATCTGACAACAAGGCGAGTGGCCTCCAGCTGTCAGTTTGAAGGGACAGGCTGCAGCTGACTGAGCGGCTCCGGCCGTCCTACTGGCTAAAGGACTGAACCGAAGAGGTGAGGCTCCGGCCATCTTGAGTTTGAGGCTCCAGGTGCTGGAGCGTGTGAGTGTGAAGAAAAGGTGAGCTGAGAGGTGAGTGGCTCTGGCCATCGTTGAGTTCTGGCACTTGTGAGTGTGAAGAAAAGGTGAGC